TCTAACCAAAAAACTACGACAAGATTGATACTAATTAATAGTATCCATATACTAATTAACTTCTTTGAGTGGCAATTTTGAGAAGTTGAAGAGTCAGATAAGGACAAACTGTATGTATGAACCACTTCGTTATTCAGGTGATGCGACGTTGCGATACAGATTCTTGTATCGTTGTCAAGCATGTATGAATCAGGTAGAAAATGGAAGGTTTCGATACATATTCTTGTACATACAACGATACAAGAATCTGTCTCGAACTGTCGCATCACCTGAATATAGAAGTTGTTTATCCACAAAGTTTGTCCTTATATACTGGTGTACAAAAGAAAGTATACGACTGGTGTTTTGAGACTATTTAAACAACGCAAACATTTTGCTAGCAATGTTCCAGTTGGGTACGATATATATGGTGTTATTGCAACACGTACACAATGTTTGTGACTTGTGAGTCGCAATCAAACCCCTTTTCTAAATATTACGCTGTTTTCAGGAAAACATTTTACCAAAACGTCAGATGTGTACTTTCTTTTGTACGTCAGGCTAGTTATGTGATGTAAGCTTCCGCTATTAACCCATCCCTGAAAAGTGTCATTAAAAGGGTTAGTTTCAATATAGCTCTAAAAAGAAGAATACTTTCTGTATATCTATCTTGAGTTCTATGCTATGACATCAATATGTCTATATACTCGTGCCAATAATGGTTGTCACCCCCTTCAATGTTTTATAATTGGAGATGGGTGTGGGTTTTTAATTGTGAGGTGTGAGGTATGTGTGAGGGGTGGGGGTGGGGGTGAAGGGGGTGACAACCATTATTGGCATGAGTATAATTAGGACATTTGACAACATTGGATAAGACAATGTGTTTAACCGGACGGGTTGTTGAGTGGTGATTTAGATGACGTCAGAGCATAGTGAGGCAGATGTCACTGCCAGGCATTAAAATGTCGGATATAAGCCACGTGCGATTTAAAGAGGTTGTGTGTGTTTTATCACATGTCTCCCGAGCCTTGATTATGGTCACGTAACAACTCTAGCAGTTGTTCAGTTGTAGATTCCGTTTACAACGTATATTTACATAACTGAACAATGTTGAGCTATAGAGGTGAGGTGAAATTGGGTTTAACGTCGTGCTTGAGAATATTTCGCTCATATGACGACGTGCATGCGTGTGTATGTGTATGTGCGGCTGCTTGTACTAGGCCAGACTTAAGCTGGTTTTATAGTGCTAGCCCACTGAGATACCACGCCGCAGTGAAGCATGAATACCCCACTCAGACACATTATACTGACTCCGAGCCGACCAGTCCTTGTTGTACCCAGGCAGGGACCAACAAGTACCATATTTTAACGCCTTTTGTTATGACGCGGTCGGGGATCGAACTCACGACCTTCCGCTCCCCGGGCGGACGCTCTAACCACTACACCACGGAGGCGGTCTTGAGCTATAGACAAGGAGCTATAAATGCATGGGGTGGACATGCGGCCGTGTTCAATATGGAGATAGGTGAGTGAGTGAGTATGGTTTTACGCCGTTTTTAGCAGTATTCCAGCAACATCACGGCATGGGACACCAGATTGGGCTTCATACATTGGGAATCAATATAGAAATACAAATGTGTTTTAAACATAAAGTGAGTGAAAGAGTGAGTTTGGTTTTACGCCGCTTTTAGCAATATTCCAGCAATATCACAGCGGGGGACACCAGAAATGGGCTTCACACATTGTACCCATGTAGGGTTTTAAACATAAAGGAATATACAACTATGTGAGAGAATATTGTTTTACGCCACACAATCAATTTTGCAGGCATTCGTAGCAAGGCACATACAAGAATAGTATTTGCTGAAACAGAACAGAAAGTATTCACAAGGCTATATAAAAAATACTGCACAACGCTGTGATATTTATTGAACATACAGAGTTACATTACGTTGAACATAAATATCGCACAACGCTCCACAACGTATTGCACAATGCATCACATAAAGTTGTGCAGGAAGGCCATGACTTATCCCACCGGGTACCCATTCACTGCTGGGTGACAGAGGCAAGCTTGAACAAAGTAACTTGCCTAAGGTGAGACTACATGTTTTACACGTGCATCGTGTCCTAACATAGGGTGACCCAGATACTCTCAAGTCATGCTGCCAAACCTGGTCGCCCGTCCAAGGACTGTTCGCGACCTACGTTGCTTAACTTCAACTGATTTATAACCTGGGCTCTTGACCACATGTGCACATTTGCTCTGTTTGTACAAAGTGTTAAGCTCTTGCACAGGACCATACACTGCCCCATGTGCACACTTGCTCTGTTTGTACAAAATGTTAAGCTCTTGCACAGAACCACACACCGCCACATGTGCACATTTGCTCCGTATAAACATGGAAGCAGATTATGGTCAATTTATTCTGTATTCTGAATTGTTTTGTATTCTGAATTGTCCTGAATTATGCATTGTTCTGAATTCTGTATTGTTCTGTGTTCTAAATTGTTCTGTGTTCTAAATTGTTTTGTGTTCCAAACTGTTCTGTATTCTGAATTATTCATTATCCAGAATTATTATTCTGAAATGTTCTGTATTCTGAATTGTCCTGAATTATGCATTGTTCTGAATTCTGTATTGTTCTGTGTTCTAAATTGTTCTGTGTTCTAAATTGTTTTGTGTTCCAAACTGTTCTGTATTCTGAATTATTCATTATCCAGAATTATTATTCTGAAATGTTCTGTATTCTGAATTGTCCTGAATTATGCATTGTTCTGAATTCTGTATTGTTCTGTGTTCTAAATTGTTCTGTGTTCTAAACTGTTTTGTGTTCCAAGCTGTTCTGTATTCTGAAATATTCACTATCCAGAATTATTATTCTGAAATGTTCTGCACACTGAATTGTTCTGTTCCAAATTGTCCTGTATTCTGAATTATGCTGTATCCAGAATTATTATTCTGAAATGTTCTGCACTCTGAATTGTTCTGTATTCTAAATTGTTCTATATTCTGAATTGTTCTGTATTCTGAACTATTCTGTATTTTAAATTGTTCTGAATTCTGAATAGTTCTGTATTCTAAATTGTTCTGCATTCTGAATTATGTATTCTGAATTGTTCTGTTTTCTGAATTGTCCTGTATTTTGAATTGTTCTGTATTCTTTATTATTCTGTAATCTTAATTGTTCTGTGTTCTGAATTGTTCTGTATCGTTCTGTATTCTGAGTTGTTCTGTGTTCTGAACTTGATGCTGTTTAGTATACAGTCACACCAACTTATGGTATACAGACCTCCAGAGCTGGGCTGACAGTGATTTCTATGGGTTTCAGTGAGTTGACACTTTGTGTACAGATTAAAACAAACACATGTTGCTTCACGCGAAGATTTCAGTAGTGTAATTATCATCTCATTCAGCATTGATTGGAAAACGACATTTTCATGTTGAAAGTCGTGAACAAACTGATAAATATGCATGTCCCAGACCATTTACATACCATATTAGTTCATTGTCGTGTAAACGCATAATAGATTTACATATACACATGTATGTATAGCTACGCATGTGCAAAATTAGCTTCGCCTAAAGTATATTCACACCCTCCATACCAACTGGAAATATGCGTGGGACAGCGGGTTTGAGTGAGTGAGTGTGGTTTTACGCGGCTTTAAGCAATATTCCAGCAATATCACAGCGGGTTTACCACAAATTGTCTTCACACATTGTACCCACGTGGGGAATCGAATCCGGGTCTACGGCGTGACGAGCGAACTCTTTAACCACTAGACTCCACCACTACGCATAGTGTGTGTACATAAAAGTAGTTCATCGGAATGTTTATTTTCATTGACAGTGATGGGGTCGTTAGTAAAATCACAGTACAACTCGGTACCGCTGGCAGACTAATCAAAATGAAGAATCCAAAAACGTCACTGATGAATTAGGAGATACACTAAACCCTATACTACCATGTCTCCATTCTGTGACGTGTACAACGCTGTGACAACGGTCGTCTCGAGGAACGTGTACTCACGCATGCGTGTGGATCACAGTCATACATAGGAATAGTACTAAAGAAAAATTAATTTACTTAAATATTTTTGACAAAATATAGACATGTATGTTAGAAAAAGATGAGTGAGATATTATGGTTTTACACCGCTTTTAGTGATCATCTAGCAATATCACGGCGGGCTTCACACTTTCTAGCTATGTGAGGAATCGAACCCGGGTCTCCAGCGTGACGAGCAAACGCTTTAACCACTAGGCCACCCCAACGCCCTATAAAAGTCTGGCCATTTATTGAAAATCAACAAGAGTGGGTGGGTGAGTGAGTATGGTTTTACGCCGCTTTTAGCAATATTCCAGCAATATCGTAGCGAGGAATACCGAAAAGTGGCAACAAGACATTTTCCAGTGCCGAGTGACAGTTTGAGAAGTAAAAGGGACGAAAACAAGCTTGTTCTCAAATAAATCCTTTTGTCGTGAAGTACTCACCAGGACCGGAGCGGCGTCCCTTTGTTAACATCGGTGTTTTTCAGCGATCTATTCAAATAAATTCAATTTCCCACGGTATTTTGACTTTTTACGTCTTACCAAGTCTTGCATCCATATGTTTAAATGAGTTTAAGCTCGAACAAATTGCAATCAAAGACCAAACATGTTTTGGGAAATGTTATTTAATATCATACGAATATATCATAAATAAATATCCAATATGTCAAGGTGAGAGAATATACACAATCGATTATCTACCGAAACAAATTCTATTAGGTAACATATTGAAATAAACATCTTCCACCTTGAATCCAAGAATTTTTAAGTTGACGATTAAAATTTATTTACAGACCGCCGTCATAAAGTTGGAATAGTGCGGCGATAAACAACAATGTGTGAGTGAGTATGGTTTTACGCCGCTTTCAGCAATATCCAAGCAATAACACGGCGGGGACACCAGAAATGGGCTTCACACATTATACCCATATGGGGCATAATCGGACTCTTGTCATCGGCGTGACGAGCGAACACTTTAACCACTATGTCACCCTACCGTCCCCGTTGAACAACAAACAAACAAATCCTGAGACGATTCCGTTTTCAGCGTCCGTTGGTCTGGTACTGTCTGAGCGTCATCTGAACGGTGACGATACTGGAGGGGTACAGGCGGTTCCGTTTCTTGCATTTGATCGTGTCCAGGTAACGTTTTCGGAACCTTTTGGAGATGACCACATACATCACCGGGTTGAGACACGTTGACAGCTTGGCAAATATAACGGGGACAACGGTGATGACGCGGGGGATGGTGTGAGGGTTACCATAGGATCCCATTAAAGATACGACAGCGTACGGTGCCCAGCATACGAAGAATGCCACGACAAGAAAAAAGCATATCTGAAAAGAACATGAAGATGATTCAAGGTGTGCTGCTCGTAACAGATGGAGGATGCGTTCCTGGGTCCCGATCTTCAAAGCGTTCGTAACGTTAGGATCTGTCGTAACTCTACAGTTTACCATATAGGCTTACGAATGTCGTAGCACTACGAATGCTCTGTGGATCTGGGCCTCGAACTACAAAGCGTTCGTACCGTTACGACCTGTCGTGACTCCACAGTTTACCATGGGCTTACGAATGTCGTAGCAACACGAATGCTTTGTGGATCAGGACCCAGGGAGAATATTTCTCGGAACGATCAGAGCTACGATTTATCTTAAGAACGTATGTTCACATCTAAGACATCTTAAGTTAAAGTAACAGTCACATATGGTGCAAAGGTACGATACCCCTTGTAACTGCAGTAACATAGAACTCGTTGGTATTGGAGATTGAAAAAAGTGGGGTGTTCCCCAAAGATGTCACGGGGATTTCCCAGCCGTTGACCTAAAATGGAGAACTCAGATGAGAGCACGGAACTCCTTATCACATTGTGAGGGCATATTGTTTAACAAGCATCTATTTGAGTTACTACGTGTACACATTTTGTTCCCCTGATGAACGAAGACAAGACAAAGTACGCTAAAACCAAATACACGTGTCAGTGCAAATACGAGTAGTCTAACCACGCCATTACAATGCGCCATAGGTCAAGGACGAAAGTAAGGGACTCTATTCCCGAGATATCCTTGAACGAACAGCAACTGTTATGTTTTCAAGTCTGATAAACACTTGGTCGGTTGTCAATGCTGCGTATTTTTTTTATTTTTACGAAAAAATTAAAAACAAATATTTTTAGGATCGGTCCACTGTGATAAAAACAAGTCGATTAGACATTGATCAGTAGATTTCAAAAAATAATAAAAAAAGGACAATGTTTAATCTTAACGACGGGTATGGGATGCCATTTTCTTTATAAATCGATTTTTTTTAAAATACTTGAGATTTCGAATTACGTCCTCTTTGCCTAGGACATTGAGATCACCATTTTAACAAATTTCTTTTCAATGGAAAAAAAGGTACGGCGTTAATCTTGGCAGAGAAGTGTATCTTAAGGTAGCAGTCTGTAAATAATCGAGTCTGGACCAGACAATCTTGTGACTGACGTCATGACCATCGGTCAGCAGAACTGGTATACGATGACGCTTCAACCAAGTCAGCGAACCTGACCACCCGATCCCGTTAGTCGCGTCTTAGAACAATCATGGGAAGACCATTTCTCACCCATCAGTAATGATAACCTACCCAGTCCATGGTGTAAAACACGCTCCTTCGATAGGACAATCCCGAATTGAATGACATTTGTTGAAAAGAATAATATACGCTTCAGACATCAATGCTATCATGGCATCAGACATCAATGCCATAAAGGCATCAGACATCTATGTTATCATGGCATCAGACATCTATGTTATCATGGCATCAGACATCTATGTTATCATGGCATCAGACATCTATGTTATCATGGCATCAGACATCTATGTTATCATGGCATCAGACATCTATGTTACCATGGTATCAGACATCTATGCCATAAAGGCATCAGACATCTATGCCATAAAGGCATCAGACATCTATGTTATCATGGCATCAGACATCTATGTCATAAAGGCATCAGACATCTATGTTATCATGGCATCAGACATCTATGTCATCATGGCATCAGACATCTATGTTATCATGGCATCAGACATCTATGTTATCATGGCATCAGACATCTATGTTATCATGGCATCAGACATCTATGTTATCATGGCATCAGACATCTATGCTATCATGGCATCAGACATCTATGTTATCATGGCATCAGACATCTATGTTATCCTGGCATCAGGCATCAGTGCCATAAAGGCATCAGCCATCTATGTTATCATGGCATCAGACATCAATGCCATACAGGCATCAGACATCTCTGTTATCCTAGCATTAGACATCTGTGTTATCATGGCATCAGACATCAAGGCCATACAGGCATCAGACATCTGCGTTATCCTAGCATCAGACATCTGTGTTATCATGGCATCAGACATCAATGCCATACAGGCATCAGACATCTATGTTATCCTAGCATCAGACATCTGTGTTATCATGGCATCGGACATCAATGCCATACAGGCATCAGACATCTGCGTTATCCTAGCATCAGACATCTGTGTTATCCTAGCATCAGACATCTGTGTTATCATGGCATCAGACATCAATGCCATAAAGGCATCAGACATCTGTGTTATCCTGGCATCAGACATCTATGTTATCATGGCATCAGACATCAATGCCATACAGGCATCAGACATCTGCGTTATCCTAGCATCAGACATCTATGTTATCATGACATCAGACATCTATGTTATCATGGCATCAGACATCAATGCCATACAGGCATCAGACATCTGTGTTATCCTAGCATCAGACATCTATGTTATCATGACATCAGACATCTATGTTATCATGGCATCAGACATCAATGCCATAAAGGCATCAGACATCTGTGTTATCCTAGCATCAGACATCTCTGTTATCATGGCATCAGACATCTATGTTATCATGGCATCAGACATCTGTGTTATCCTAGCATCATACATCTATGTTATCATGGCATCAGACATCTATGTTATCATGGCATCAGACATCAATGCCATAAAAGCATCAGACATCTATGTTATCATGGCATCAGACATCTATGTTATCATGGCATCAGACATCTATGTTATCATGGCATCAGACATCTATGTTATCATGGCATCAGACATCTATGTTATCATGGCATCAGACATCTATGTTATCATGGCATCAGATATCAATGCCATAAAGGCATCAGACATCTATGTTATCATGGCATCAGACATCTTTGTTATCATGCATCAGACATCTATGTTATCCTTGCATCAGACATCTATGTTATCATGGCATCAGACATCTATGTTATCATGCATCAGACATCTATGTTATCATGGCATCAGACATCTATGTTATCATGGCATCAGACATCTATGTTATCATGGCATCAGACATCTATGTTATCATGGCATCAGACATCTATGTTATCATGGCATCAGACATCAATGCTATCATCTCATCAGACATCTATGTTATCATGGCATCAGACATCTTTGTTATCATGCATCAGACATCAATGCCATAAAGGCATCAGACATCTATGTTATCATGGCATCAGACATCAATGCCATAAAGGCATCAGACATCTGTGTTATCCTAGCATCAGACATCTGTGTTATCCTGGCATCAGACATCTATGTTATCATGGCATCAGACATCAATGCCATAAAGGCATCAGACATCTGTGTTATCCTAGCATCAGACATCTCTGTTATCCTACCATCAGACATCTATGTTATCATGGCATCAGACATCTATGTTATCCTAGCATCAGACATCTATGTTATCCTACCATCAGACATCTATGTTATCATGGCATCAGACATCTATGTTATCATGGCATCAGACATCAATGCCATAAAGGCATCAGACATCTATGTTATCCTAGCATCAGACATCAATTTTATCATGGCATCAGACATCAATGTTATCATGGCATCAGACATCTGTGTTATCCTAGCATCAGACATCTATGTTATCTCAGCATCATCAGACATCAATATGTCAGACATATCATGGCATCAGACATCTATGTTATCATGGCATCAGACATCAATGCCACAAAGGCATCAGACATCTATGCTATCATGGCATCAGACATCTTTGTTATCATGCATCAGACATCTATGTTATCCTAGCATCAGACATCTATGTTATCATGACATCAGACATATATGTTATCATGGCATCAGACATCAATGCTATAAAGGCATCAGACATCTATGTTATCATGGCATCAGACATCTATGTTATCCTAGCATCAGACATCTATGTTATCATGGCATCAGACATCAATGCCATAAAGGCATCAGACATCTATGTTATCATGGCATCAGACATCTATGTTATCATGGCATCAGACATCTATGTTATCATGGCATCAGACATCTATGTTATCCTGGCATCAGACATCAATGCCATAAAGGCATCAGACATCTATGTTATCATGGCATCAGACATCTATGTTATCATGGCATCAGACATATATGTTATCATGGCATCAGACATTTATGTTATCCTAGCATCAGACATCTATGTTATCATGGCATCAGACATCTATGCTACCATGGTATCAGACATCAATGCTATCATTTTGTCGAACACAATTTGATATACCTTTGTTACAACCACGTTTTGTATTTCCCGTCGACGGCGACGTTCCTTCCGCGCCGTGTAGAAGATGCAGATGTAACAGAAGAGCATGATGAGGGTGTTGACCCCCAACACAAGAACAACAAGTCCAAGAATGAACAGCCTTGACCTGAGTGATTTGCCCTTCCAGTCCACGGTGCATGACATCTGCGTCAAAGAATGCGCAGTGATAGAGTGCATACAAGTATGGAATACTAGAAAGGATATTGTCGCGTTGTCGCCTTTACAGACAAAAACAAACAGAAAATGACAGAAATTTTGACCATTTGTAATATTGTGACGTTGTCGCGCTTTGAATATCATCTTTTACATATTTCAAGGTCACAATATCACGCGCTGACGTATTGCCGCCCCATCCAAAATGGGTTTAAAATATTTTGAAATTCGCAACAACGCGAACATGTGGCTTCTCTATGGTGGCTGACTATGACGTTGTCATGCTTCTACGGTTCGATAAAACGGAGCTACCTTGGCTTGGCAACAACCGTGCCCATGAATGAACGTTTGTCGATGTGTATCTCCTCAAAATTAATGCTGAATCCTATTAACTGATTTACCTGGAATGGTTCCAAGGTATATTCTACACCTGTAGTGATGGGTAGCATCGCCCAGACAAAAGCTTGGAACCAAATAATACCAAGAATCTTCACGAGCGCCATCCTTCTTTGCAAAATGGTTTCTGGAATAGGAAATTCAATTTAACTTCTTTGAGTGGCATTTTAGAAGTTGCAAATAAGATAGAACACGTATATATGGATAACAACTTCTTTTATTCCAGTATCGAAACGCTGTGCTCTAAAATATAAGAAGTCATCCATATATACTTATTCTATAATTCAATTTAAATCAAGGTCTAGACTATAATGGATGTTAACACACCCACAGAATGTTATAATTGTTATATCCTGAAGCTTTAGGAAGCAAAACATCGACCACTAGCGGTTAACTTGACAAATAAAGATTTAATACCGATATTAAGGTATATGACAAAGAGACCCGTTACACTTAGGAACATGTCTGTACATGGCTATACATGAAGATCAAAATATATGAATCTTTCTGCAAGATGCTTCAGGTATGGTAACGGTTATACACGCAAAACATAGTGAGTGAGTGAGTGAGTGAGTGAGTGAGTGAATTTAGCAATGTTCCAGCTATATAGCGGCGGTCTGTAAATAATCAAGTCTGGACCAGATAATGCATGAGCATCGATCTACGCAACTGGGATACGATGACATGGTTAAAGCGTCTACTGGTCACGCTAAAGACCCGGGTTCGATTCTCCATATGGGTACAATGTGTGAAGCCCATTTCTGGTGTCCTCCGCCGTGATATTGCTGGAATATTGCTAAAAGCGGCGTAAAACCATACTCACTCACTCTACCATAAGTGGTGATTTCACCTTTATCATAAAGCACCATCTGTACATAAGACGTCGGTTTATAAAGACATTTTGGAAAGACAATAACAGACGTAAGTTAACCCGTGAAGAATTGGTCTTCAGTGTCACCAATGCTTGTCGTAAGGGTCGACTAACGGGATCGGGTGGACAGGCTCGCTGGATTGTCTGATCCAGCCTCGATTACTTCCAGACCACTGCTATATAGCTGAACTGATTTCATACTGTGGCGTTAAACAACAAATAAACAAACAGCCGTAAGTCTGCAGAAACAAACACGCCATGTTACCTGGATATTGCCAGGTAATAAGACATGGCGGTTTAACGCTTACCTTCATAATGCCTACATATTATAAGATATCTTTCCACGCTAATAGCAGAGAGGGTTGATATTGAACCATTGCCGAACAAGAAGCTGAGAAATCCGTACATCGTGCAGCCAATGCTGCCATGTAACCACTCCTGAAAACAATAAACATTGCTATCAACATATACATGTACATGCCAACTTGCCCTTCATCAGGGATAAGAAAAGAAAGACTAAGACATATCTCAAAAAAGCCCCAGTTCATTACAATTTCCGAAAATATCACGAACATGTCTTTATGAATCACTATCAAAGAGTTATCATACCAGGTTTATACCAAAGAATGGGTGTATCCTGCCCCACCGGTGGCACCCGTCATAAATACATGCCAAGGCTAGTCAACAACCACAACTTAGTAACCAGACTAGTTTACTGTACAGGAACACTAACCAACCTCAACTAATTAACTAGAAGACGTTACTGCACAGGAACACTAAACAACCTCAACTAAGTAACTAGAATACGTTACTGCACAGGAACACTAACCAACCTCAACTAATTAACTAGAAGACGTTACTGCACAGGAACACTTAACAACCTCAACTAAGTAACCAGAAGACGTTACTGCACAGGAACACTAAACAACCTCAACTAAGTAACTACAATACGTTAGTGCACAGGAACACTAAACAACCTCAACTAAGTTACTAGAATGCGTTACTGCACAGGAACACTAAACAACCTCAACTAAGTAACTAGAATACGTTACTGCACAGGAACACTAAACAACCTCAACTAAGTAACCAGTATACGTTACTGCACAGGAACACTAAACAACCTCAACTGAGTAACTAGAATACGTTACCGCACAGGAACACTAAACAACCTCAACTAAGTTACTAGAATGCGTTACTGCACAGGAACACTAAACAACCTCAACTAAGTAACTAGAATACGTTACTGCACAGGAACACTAAACAACCTCAACTAAGTAACTAGAATACGTTACTGCACAGGAACACTAAACAACCTCAACTAAGTAACTAGAATACGTTACTGCACAGGAACACTAAACAACCTCAACTAAGTAACTAGAATACGTTACTGCACAGGAACACTAAACAACCCTCAACTAAGTAACTAGAATACGTTACTGCACAGGAACACTAAACAACCTCAACTAAGTAACTAGAATACGTTACTGCACAGGAACACTAAACAACCTCAACTAAGTAACTAGAATACGTTACTGCACAGGAACACTAAACAACCTCAACTAAGTAACTAGAATACGTTACTGCACAGGAACACTAAACAACCTCAACTATAACCAGAATACGTTACTGCACAGGAACACTAAACAACCTCAACTAAGTAACTAGAATACGTTACTGCACAGGAACACTAAACAACCTCAACTAAGTAACTAGAATACGTTACTGCACAGGAACAACCTCAACTACTAAACAACCTCAACCTAAGTAACTAGAATACGTTACTGCACAGGAACACTAAACAACCTCAACTAAGTAACTAGAATACGTTACTGCACAGGAACACTAAACAACCTCAACTAAGTAACTAGAATACGTTACTGCACAGGAACACTAAACAACCTCAACTAAGTAACTAGAATACGTTACTGCACAGGAACACTAAACAACCTCAACTAAGTAACTAGAATACGTTACTGCACAGGAACACTAAGCAACCTCAACTAAGTAACTAGAATACGTTACTGCACAGGAACACTAAACAACCTCAACTAAGTAACTAGAATACGTTACTGCACAGGAACACTAAACAACCCTCAACTAAGTAACTAGAATACGTTACTGCACAGGAACACTAAACAACCTCAACTAAGTAACTAGAATACGTTACTGCACAGGAACACTAAACAACCTCAACTAAGTAACTAGAATACGTTACTGTACAGGAACACTAAACAACCTCAACTAAGTAACTAGAATACGTTACTGCACAGGAACAACCTCAACTAAGTAACTAGAATACGTTACTGCACAGGAACACTAAACAACCTCAACTAAGTAACTAGAATACGTTACTGCACAGGAACACTAAACAACCTCAACTAAGTAACTAGAATACGTTACTGCACAGGAACACTAAACAACCTCAACTAAGTAACTAGAATACGTTACTGTACAGGAACACTAAACAACCTCAACTAAGTAACTAGAATACGTTACTGCACAGGAACACTAAACAACCTCAACTAAGTAACTAGAATACGTTACTGCACAGGAACACTAAACAACCTCAACTAAGTAACTAGAATACGTTACTGCACAGGAACACTAAACAACCTCAACTAAGTAACTAGAATACGTTACTGCACAGGAACACTAAACAACCTCAACTAAGTAACTAGGAATACGTTACTGCACAGGAACACTAAACAACCTCAACTAAGTAACTAGAATACGTTACTGTACAGGAACACTAAACAACCTCAACTAAGTAACTAGAATGCGTTACTGCACAGGAACACTAAACAACCTCAACTAAGTAACCAGAATACGTTACTGCACAGGAACACTAAACAACCTCAACTAAGTAACTAGAATACGTTATTGCACAGGAACACTAAGCAACCTCAACTAAGGAACTAGAATACGTTAGTGCACAGCAATCCTAAAAAACCTCAACTAAGTAACCAGAATACGTTACTGCACAGGAACACTAAACAACCTCAACTAAGTAACTAGAATACGTTACTGCACAGGAACACTAAACAACCTCAACTAAGTAACTAGAATACGTTACTGCACAGGAACACTAAACAACCTCAACTAAGTAACTAGAATACGTTACTGCACAGGAACACTAAACAACCTCAACTAAGTAACTAGAATACGTTACTGCACAGGAGCACTAAGCAACCTCAACTAAGTAACTAGAATACGTTACTGCACAGGAACACTAAACAACCTCAACTAAGTAACTAGAATACGTTACTGCACAGGAACACTAAACAACCTCAACTGAGTAACTAGAATACGTTACCGCACAGGAACACTAAGCAACCTCAACTAAGTAACTAGAATACGTTACTGCACATGAACACTAAACAACCTCAACTAAGTAAGCAGAATAAGTTACTGCACAGGAACCCTAAACAACCTCAACTAAGTAAGTAGAATACGTTACTGCACAGGAGCACTAAGCAACCTAAACTAAGTACCTAGAATACGTTACTGCACAGGAGCACTAAGCAACCTCAACTGAGTAACTAGAATACGTTACTGCACAGGAGCACTAAGCACCCTCAACTAAATAACTAGAATACGTTACTGCACAGGAGCACTAAGCAACCTCAACTAAGTTACTAGAATACGTTACTGCACAGGAGCACTAAGCAACCTCAACTAAGTAACTAGAAACACTTAACAAAGAAATGTACTTGGATAGATAACTAAAGGCCCAACTATAGACACTCTTAACAAAGAAATGTACTTGGATAGTTAACTGACTGACTGACTGACTGACTGAGTTTTAGTTTTACGCCGCTTTTAGCAATATTCCAGCAATATCACGGCGGGGGACACCAGAAATGGGCTTAATGGATAGTTAACTAAATGCCTCACTATGGACACACTTAACAAAGAAATGTACTTGGATAGTTAACTAAATGCCCTACTATAGACACACTTAAGAATGAAATGTACTTGGATAGTTAACTAAATGCCCCACTATGGGAACACTTAACAAAGAAATGACGTTGAATAGTTAACTAAACGCTCCACTATAGACACACTTAACAAAGAAATGACCTTGAATAGTTAACTAAACGCCCCACTATAGAAACACTTAACAAAGAAATGACCTTGAATAGTTAACTTAACGCCCCACTATAGGAACACTTAACAAAGAAATGTACTTGGATAGTTAACTAAACGCCCCACTATAGGAACACTTAACAAAGAAATGTACTTGGATAGTTAACTAAATGCCTCACTATAGCAACACTTAGCAAAGAAATGAACTTGGATAGTTGACTAAACGCCCCACTATAGAAACACTTAACAAAGAAATGAACTTGAATAGTTGTCTAAACTTCCTAACAGTGGAACACTTAAAAGAAATGTACTTGGATAGTTAACTAAATGCCCCACTATAGAAACACTTAACAAAGAAATTACCTTGAATAGTTAACTAAACTTCCTAACAGTGGAACACTTAAGAATGAAATGAACTTAAATAGTTAACTAAACGCCCCACTATAGGAACACTTAACAAAGAACTTGAATAGTTAACTAAACTTCCTAACAGTGGAACACTTAAGAAAGAAATGAACTTGAATAGTTAACTAAACGCCCCACTATAGAAACACTTAACAAAGAAATGAACTTGAATAGTTAACTAAACTTCCTAACAGTGGAACACTTAACAATGAAATGAACTTGAATAGTTAACTAAACGCCCCACTATAGGAACACTTAACAAAGAACTTGAATAGTTAACTAAACTTCCTAACAGTGGAACACTTAAGAAAGAAATGAACTTGAATGGTTAACTAAACGCCCCACTATAGGTACACTTAACAAAGAAATGAACTTGTATAGTTAAGTAAACGCCCTACTATAGACACACTAAACAAAGAAATGTACTTGGATAGTTAACTAAACGCCCTACTATAGAAACACTTAACAAAGAAATGAACTTGGATAGTTAACTAAACGCCCTACTATAGACACACTGAAGAATGAAATGTACTTGGATAGTTAACTAAATGCCGAAAGAAATGTACTTTGGATAGTTAACTAAACGCCCCACTATGGGAACACTTAACAAAGAAATGAACTTGAATAGTTAACTAAGCTTCCTAACAATGGAACACTTAAGAATGAAATGAACTTGAAGAGTTAACTAAACGCCCCACTATAGGAACACTTAACAAAGAACTTGAATAGTTAACTAAACTTCCTAACAGTGGAACACTTAACAATGAAATGAACTTGAATAGATAACTAAACGCCCCACTATAGAAACACTTAACAAAGAAATGAACTTGGATAGTTAACTAAACGCTCCACTATAGACACACTTAACAAAGAAATGAACTTGAATAGTTAACTAAACGCCCCACTATAGAAACACTTAACAAAGAAATGAACTTGAATAGATAACTAAACGCCCCACTATAGGAACACTTAACAAAGAAATGTACTTGGATAGTTAACTAAACGCCCCACTATAGGAACACTTAACAAAGAAATGAACTTGAATAGTTAACTAAACTTCCTAACAGTGGAACACTTAACAAAGAAATGAACTTGGATAGTTAACTAAACGCCCCACTATAGGTACACTAAACAAAGAAATGAACTTGTATAGTTAAGTAAACGCCCTAACTATAGACACACTAAACAAAGAAATGTACTTGGATAGTTAACTAAACGCCCTACTATAGAAACACTTAACAAAGAAATGAACTTGGATAGTTAACTAAACGCCCTACTATAGACACACTTAAGAATGAAATGTACTTGGATAGTTAACTAAATGCCGAAAGAAATGTACTTTGGATAGTTAACTAAACGCCCCACTATAGAAACACTTAACAAAGAAATGACCTTGAATAGTTAACTAAACTTCCTAACAATGGAACACTTAAGAAATGAAATGAACTTGAAGAGTTAACTAAACGCCCCACTATAGGAACACTTAACAAAAGAACTTGAATAGTTAACTAAACTTCCTAACAGTGGAACACTTAACAATGAAATGTACTTGAATAGTTAACTAAACGCCCCACTATAGAAACACTTAACAAAGAAATGTACTTGGATAGTTAACTAAACGCCCCACTATAGAAACACTTAACAAAGAAATGAACTTGAATAGTTAACTAAACGCCCCACTATAGAAACACTTAACAAAGAAATGACCTTGAATAGATAACTAAACGCCCCACTCTAAACTTCACTAACAAAGAAATGGAACAGTTAAAAACGAAATGTACTTGGATAGTTAACTAAACGCCCCACTATAGGCACAACAAAGAAATGAACTTGGATAGCTAAGAATAGAAATGTAAATTACTTGGATAGTGAACTAAACGCCCCACTATGGGAACAAACTTAACAAAGAAATGTACTTTGGATAGTTAACTAAACACTTAACAAAGAAATGAACTTGAATAGTTGTCTAAACTTCCTAACAGTGGAACACTTAAAAAGAAATGAACTTGGATAGTTAACTAAACGCCCCACTATAGGCACACTTAACAAAGAAATTACCTTGAATAGTTAACTAAACTTCCTAACAGTGGAACACTTAAGAATGAAATGAACTTGAATAGTTAACTAAACGCCCCACTATAGGAACACTTAACAAAGAACTTGAATAGTTATCTAAACTTCCTAACAGTGGAACACTTAAGAAAGAAATGAACTTGAATAGTTAACCAAACGCCCCACTATAGAAACACTTAACAAAGAAATGAACTTGAATAGTTAAGTAAACGCCCTACTATAGACACACTTAACAAAGAAATGTACTTGGTTAGTTAACTAAACGCCCCACTATAGGAACACTTAACAAAGAAATGAACTTGGATAGCTAACTAAACGCCCTACTATAGACATACTTAAGAATGAAATGTACTTGGATAGTTAACTAAATGCCCCACTATGGGAACACTTAACAAAGAAATGTACTTTGGATAGTTAACTAAACGCCCCACTATGGAAACACTTAACAAAGAAATGACCTTGAATAGTTAACTAAACTTCCTAACAGTGGAACACTTAAGAATGAAATGAACTTGAAGAGTTAACTAAACGCCCCACTATAGGAACACTTAACAAAGAACTTGAATAGTTAACTAAACTTCCTAACAGTGGAACACTTAAGAATGAAATGAACTTGAATAGTTAACTAAACTTCAAAACAAAGGAACACTTAACAAAGAATTGAACTTGAATAGTTAACTAACGCCCCAACAGAGGAACACTAAACTAAGTAATGACCTGGAACTGCCTTCACGTTATATCACATCATACACCAGACTACCTGAGATTACCTGAGCAAAGTTTGCTGAGATGATGAAGGGGAAGCACAAGCCAGTCATCCCGAGATCAGAAATGGAGAGGTTGAGGAGCAACGCATCAACCGACGTCCGGAACTGTTTCTCCCGTACGAACATCACCACGGATATGGCGTTGGTGACAATTCCAAAAATTCCTGCGACCGGAAAAAATCAATATGTTTAAATATAAACTTCAAGACGTGACGTCACGGTGAGGTAGTTTAGTGGTTCAATCGTTTGCTCGTCACGCCGATGACACGGGTTCGATATTCCATATGGGTAGTATGTATGAAGGCCATTTCTGGTGTCCCCCAACGTGATATTGCTGGAATATTACTAAGAGCGGCGTAAAACTAAACTCAATTCATGAGCATAACCAGCCTCGATTATATGCCCATCCATATTCCACTGGCGGTAAAGAGGTCAATCAGAGGTGACCATAACATGAATGGATTGCCTAACATCAGTGATGATACCAAGTATACTGAACATGATTGAAAACGCACCAACTGTAAATTTTGAAATATGGTAATTGGATTGTTTTGAGAGTGAAAATGAACGTTGGAAATGTTGTTAATAACACAAAAGACAATAAATAATGTTGTACAGTAAAGAACGGATTGTCCGAACACATCATGGAACACATCACATGACAACAACAAAATTCATGCACAACACACACGAAACGCACAAATTGCATGCGTAAAACATGCTGATTAGGGGTATACATGACCGTCGGCAAAAAAACGTTCTCATTTTAGCTGTACCTCCGCAAGTAAAGTTTATTTTGCAATGCCAAGATTGTCACCAGAGGAACGAGAACGGGCGTTGGGCATGTTGCAGGTTGGCATATCAAGCAGGCTTATTGCCAGACGATTTGGTTGCCATCATTCCACCTTCATAAGACTTGCCAACAGGTACCAACAAACAGGAACCACCAGGGACCGCCAACGTCCCGGCCGGGCACGTGTTACCACCCTTCGTCAAGATCGAGACTGAGATTTGATCAGTGCATCCACCGTCCGACGCCGTCTCCGTGCAGCAGGATTACGGTGTCGACGCCCTTATTTTGGGCCCATCCTGACTGATACACATCGCCGTGAACGCCGACGATGGGCTGAACAGCGTCGTTTGTGGTTGTTACGACAATGGCACGGTGTTGTGTTCGACGGGTCACGTTTTCACTTGCGAAATGCTGACGGGCGTCTACGGGTATGGCGTCGACGGGGAGAACGTTACCATAAGGACTGTGTTGTGCAAACAGATCGGTGGGGTGGAGAAAGCATTATGGTGTGGGGGGAGGTCAGTTATTATCACAAAACCGCTCTGGTAGTTTGTCGTGGCAGAGTGAATGCCCTTTACTACCGTGACAGCATTCTTCAGAACAACGTCGTTCCCTTCTTTAACCAACATCAAGATCTGCACACATTCCAGGAAGACAATGCTCGAGCGCACACTGCATGTGTTGCAGCACAGGTTCTGGCAAACAACAACATTCCTCTACTTCCATGGCCTGCATTGTCACCAGATTTGTCTACCACTGAACACTTGTGGGATTACATCGGCCAACGCCTCTCACGTCGCCCACAGATCAACAACCTTGGGGAGCTTGAGAATGCCTTGCAACAAGAGACGAATGCATTGCCTCAAAACATTATTCAGAGACTTATCAGTTCAATGAGGAGACGTTGCACAGCTTGTGTTGCTGCTAACGGTGGTCATACACGTTACTTACTTTCCAATTTGACTCCATCTTTCTTTCATGGTCAGCTGAATTAAAACTTCACTGTTTTGCTGGATTGGTTCTTTTCTTTACCAATCACTGGACGACAAAAGTATGCAAAATTTACACCGATTGCTCATTTATGCTCTTGGAAATCCAAACTAATACAGGTGGTGCGTTTTCAGTGATGTTCAGTATATTTGCTGAAACGGTACTCAGGAACTTCCCAGCCGATAGCAACCGCCACTCAAACTGCATATCTAAAGGTAAATATTCTTACATAAGTTTTGACTTTCCTACTGTGGTATTTTAAATTGAGTGGTGAATATTCGATCCTGATAGACGAGTAGGTGTAAATCCAAGTTAAGTTAATTTCAACTTCAGTGTTAAATACCTGGAATAGAATTCGCGATTGTAGTATTCTACCCATCGAAACCGTTACTCCCGTTAACCTGTTTCAGAACTATTAGCAAGAAACTGTCACTCACATTTGAACATTTAATTTGCTAGAAATGCCTCTGTCTTGTGTACTTCTGACCTATTATAGCAACCATGGGCGAACGAGTTTGATGAAATTATACCGGTTCGACAATGCATTATCAATAACTTCCTTCTTATGAATACGAAATCAGGAATTGTTATGTTTCTCTCATATATATCCACAGGGGATATCACTTGCATGAAATCAGGCAATATCTCAAGGAAGATATCACTATAAGGGCGGTGGGGTAGCCTAGTGGTTCAAGCGTTGGATCGTCACGCCGAAGACCCGGGTTCGAATCCCCACATGGGTACAATGTAGGAAGCCCATTTCTGGTGTCCCCCGCCGTGATGTTGCTGGAATATTGCTAAAAAGCGGCGTAAAACCGAACTCAGTCAGTCAGATATCATTATAACGACTTTGTATGATAACGTCCGTCAAACAATTGTTTCGTCATCAGTTACCATGACATCAAAGACAAAGAATTTCAGCTGAAGTTGTTTGGATGTGTGCAAGCAAAATAGCATAAGCTGATTATATTTAATTAAGTATGATATGAAAGAGGATATTTCATGTGTCTAGTCAATTGTGATGCACCTGTCATCAAGTGACGTGGAAATATGACAACACGAGATGACAGATACATCATATTTCACTTGACACATAAAATGGTCTATATATCATGTTCTTAAATCCTTTATGTTGGAGTAATATATAGCATGAATTTAAATTGTTAATTGAGTTATAGATTGCATCAGCTAAAATTGTTTCACAAGTCTCATGTATAGCATCATTAAATATTTCTTATAACGTAGGTTTTATATATAGCATCACCTTCAAGCCTCGTGTATATAGCCTCAGCTGAAAATGATGACCCTCATTTGTGACCCCCATACAGCAAATTATCTCGAGCTGGTCACCTTTCTAAGATGTACAGATACATAGGTACCCACAAATTTGTGCTATCAACAGAAATCTTAACTATAGTTTAGAAATTATGTTTCTTCAACGCCTAGGGTGAGAAACTCAAGTGTGATAACCGACGAAAGATCGAATTCAACATCCGTGATTGACTACTCGACGGGAACACCTACTCTACTACTGTCAGTACCCGTCTACCCGCTAACTCTACCACTGTCAGTACCTGTCTACCCGCTAACTCTACCACTGTCAGTACCTGTCTACCTACCAACTCTACTACTGTCAGTACCTGTCTACCCGCTAACTCTACCACTGTCAGTACCTGTCTACCTACCAACTCTACCACTGTCAGTACCTGTCTACCTGCTAACTCTACTACTGTCACTACCAGTCTACCCGCTAACTCTACCACTGTCAGTACCTGTCTACCTTCCAACTCTACTACTGTCAGTACCCGTCTACCTGCTAACTCTACCACTGTCAGTACCTGTCTACCTACTAACTCTACCACTGTCAGTACCCGTCTACCCGCCAACTCTACTACTGTCAGTACCTGTCTACCTACCAACTCTACTACTGTCAGTACCTGTCTACCTGCTAACTCTACTACTGTCACTACCAGTCTACCCGCTAACTCTACCACTGTCAGTACCTGTCTACCTTCCAACTCTACTACTGTCAGTACCCGTTTACCCGCTAACTCTACCACTGCCAGTACCTGTCTACCCGCTAACTCTACCACTGTCAGTACCTGTCTACCCGCTAACTCTACCACTGTCAGTACCTGTCTACCCGCTAACTCTACCACTGTCAGTAACTGTCTACCTTCAAACTCTACTACTGTCAGTACCTGTCTACCTACTAACTCTACTACAGTCAGTACCTGTCTACCTACCAACTCTACTACTGTCAGTACCCGTCTACTTACTAATTCTAAAACTGTCAGTACCTGTCTACCTACTAACTCTACTACTGTCAGTACCTGTCTACCTACCAACTCTACTACTGTCAGTACCTGTCTACCTACCAACTCTACCACTGTCAGTACCTGTCTACCTACTAACTCTACCACTGTCAGTACCTGTCTACCTACCAACTCTACCACTGTCAGTACCCGTCTACCTATCAACTCTACCACTGTCAGCACCTGTCTACCTTCCAACTCTACCACTGTCAGTACCTGTCTACCTTCAAACTCTACCACTGTCAGCACCTGTCTACCTTCCAACTCTACCACTGTCAGCACCTGTCTACCTTCCAACTCTGCTACTGTCAGCACCTGTCTAGCTACCAACTCTACCACTGTCAGCACCTGTCTACCTTCCAACTCTACTACTGTCAGCACCTGTCCACCTACCAACTCTACCACTGTCAGCACCTGTCTACCTTCAAACTCTACTACTGTCAGCACCTGTCTACCTACCAACTCTACCACTGTCAGCACCTGTCTACCTTCCAACTGTACTACTGTCAGTACCCGTCTACCTGCTAACTCTACTACTGTCAGTACCTGTCTACCCGCTAACTCTACCACTGACAGTACCTGTCTACCTACCAACTCTACCACTGTCAGTACCTGTCTACCTACCAACTCTACCACTGTCAGTACCCGTCTACCTACCAACTCTACTACTGTCAGTACCCGTCTACCTACCAACTCTACTACTGTCAGTACCTGTCTACCTACCAACTCTACTACTGTCAGTACCTGTCTACCTACTAACTCTACTACTGTCAGTACCTGTCTACCTACCAACTCTACCACTGTCAGTACCTCTGTACTAATTCTAAACCTTACAACACCCAGGCCTGTTTGATAAACCGTGTGAGGTCGATGGTTTGACCCCCATGCCGTGTTATACCTAAACATATTAAAAGAGGGCCCTTGTCATTTCCCGATATTGCTCTCAACATTAAGTGAGTTTACTTTTACGCCGCTTTTAGCAATATTCTTCCAGCAAAATCACAGAAGGGGACACCAGAAAATAGCTTCACACATTGTGCCAATTTGAGGATCGAACCCGGGTCTTCGGCGTGACGAGCGAACGCTTTATCCACTAGGCTACCCGACCGCCCACTATATTAAGAG